CATTAAAGAGGGCCCAACATTACTAGTACTAACTTTAATATTATTACCATTTCTATTATGAATAGTGTTACTGTTATTGCTATTGGGGTTTAGGGATTGGGGGCAGCAAAAAACGACTTAGAGCCGAGGAGGCCGCCCCGTAAGACGTGGGCCACGTAGGGATTGTTCATGAACGCTGTATACAGGTCTCCTCTGATTACTTGAAACCCTAAACCCCTAAACCCTAAACCCCTAAACCTAAGCCCTAAACCCTAAACCCTAAACAAGTCTTAAAGCATCACTTGAAGCCTGCAGGCTCCATTCGTTCATCACTAGCGCGATAATGATAATGTGCCTAGACTATATCTTCTCTTCTCTACAGTGTCTACCCCTGATACGAATATGATCTATAGTCTAAACTCCTTAAAGGGGGTTACATAGGGGATTAATATAGGGCACTATTATAGGGGTTATAAAGGGGGATACTAGGAGTGTAGACAATGGCTCATATGGAGACTTGCGCAAAGCACGCAAACCTTGAAAGACATGCCGCTTCCTACTTGCTATGCCGAAAGTCCTGCATTGAAGCTAGGAACCACGGGCCACAACCCTCAACAATCCTAAGCTGCAACACCAGAAACTTTCCCAATTCTACATGTGTGATGCCTAAGATCCGGCGTCTCGGGCCAAGCGTGCTTCTGGCATCTGGACACCCGCCAAATCGAGTTGGAGCGCATGTCCAAGGACTTACGGTCATGGGGTGCCTTAGTACCACTCCCATGCTACCAGGATTCCCCCCCAAAGGCGGATTGATTAAGGGGGAATTTACAGGGGGTCAGCGCAGGGAAGGTGGGTAAGGAAACCCATGAGAGAGCGATTGCTTCCCTGCAGTATGTGTTCCTGATGCAGGCCAGTGCCAATTTTGCGGGTCCTGAGAATGCAACACTTATGAGCTCGAAGGGTCGTATGAGATAATAGCGGGTACATAATATGAGGCATGCCACATGTGGGGCGCGTACTAGAGGTCCACGTTTCCAATCATAGATGCTTCAACAAAATAGATTGAACGCGACATTATCTTTCATGTTGTGCAGCTCGGCTGGGCTTAGTCCATCAGCTTTTAGCGAGGGAGTTCACAAGCTTTAAGCGCCGCAAACGCAGAACCCTCAAAAAACGCGGCTCCTTTCCATAGAAGAAGGCGGTCGACCCGCCAGGAAGTGGAGGGGAAGCGGAGGGAGGGGGGAGGGAGGGGAGGGAGAGGGGTTCGCCCGGCAAGGAGGTCTGCAAAGGGGCAGTAGAGGGGGTTGAAGAGGGTTAAACGCCCTGAGGCTGGATAGTCTTGGCATGCCTTGGCAAATTTCCATCGATCAGGCTGGTTTTATGTCCCCCTTCTAGGTTATAGCTGCAGTTACCCAAGCCTAACCCTAACGCACGTACCCTTATTCTAAGCCCAGAAGAAGGATGCACTTCGGTGGGCCGCCAGGGGCATTGACGCCCGATTAAAGGCTGGCGGTCCGAGCTACAAGGTTTAGGGCTTAGGGTTTGGGGCTAAGGGGTTTATTGTTTAGGGTTTACGTTCTAAGGTGTTGGGCCATAAAGTTCACGCATGAACTGTAGGGCACTGCTTTCTGTTGTATTACAACCATGTTCCTATCAATCTCCCAAGAAGAACCAGACACGTACTTCACCGGCTTGAGGTTCAGCTATTGCCGTGTCTAGGGTACAAGGGGTTCAAGCGCACCTCCATCCAGCGCATGGGGTGCGTCTCTGAGGAATCCAGGTATGCAGCAGAAACATGTTTCAGGCAATATTCTGCTCACTTCACATTAGACATGGCCAACCTCTATGTGTAGTGTCCACTTACGGTTTAGGGTTTAGGGTAACACGAATAGCATACTGGTTGATGAATGGTCACGTTGAACCTCCTCCGTGTTCTAGAGTGCCCAATGACCGTGCATGGTCGCGGTGCGGGTACGAAGAAGTTTCAAACTTGGTCGCCGCATCAAAGGGCACTCCCTCTAATACTGTTGATTTGCATTGCTGAAGTCTTGGCTACCTTTGTCGGCCACGGCTTGCCTCTCAAAGAGTGAACCCAACATCCCTCTATACTGGGTTGCTGTTGAGGAATTTGTTTTTCAAATACTATAACAAGGAAACCGCATTATTTGCTACATGCCCATAATGTGGTAGCTTGATGAAAGATCCTGATCAGCAGTACAGCATGATCCCCACAGCCGTCCACTTTTGAAGAAACAGGCTTCTGGCTAGTTGTGCTGTTTGGTATGTGTGATGGTCTGCCGACATGTAAATTTCAGCGAAGAGGCTGTATGGTAATCCACTAGGTAGGCTTTCACTGAGTTGCTGTTAAGGAACTTTGTTTAAGTTACCGTCTTATGGGTATGTATGTCGTAAATTTAAGTAATGGGTTTCCTTACCATGGCAAAGTAAAGAAGTCCCTTAACAGCAATCCAGTTCAAGGGAGCCTACATGCTTCTTCTAGTCCCTCTATTTCCCTGGTACTCACCGGGGTACCCTGTATTTAGAAACCCCTTCATGAGAGGCTGACAGGATGCAAACAATGTGTCATGGCGACCCAAAAGGCGCGAACATCATGTGGGATGATGAGGCGAGGTGGTGCTTTGGTTGATTCACTCAAATTCCTGCATGCCCTGAAGTACCTTGCACTAGGGGAATTAAGGTCTTCTAGTCTACTATCCACACTAGTGCTCAGGACCTAGCATCGAGTTAATCCGGAGGGATACAAACAGGCATTTACTGCAGCATACCGCAGCTAGGGTTTATTTACCCACGAAAAGGCCTCAGCTGGGCATATGAGGCGCTTCTACCGTTAAGCCCCTGGGCTTGTCTTAAAGTGTGGAAGTTTGGAACAATGCGCAGAAAGCTCCACGCTGCACAGGCAGGAGTCTCCTTCTATGACTTCCAGTGGTTTGGCAAAGCTCCGCCCACAAAGGTGCGAGCTGCCATGTGGGAGTGTGTCAAAGCAATGCGCCTGTAATCCAACTGAGGGAGCCTCACCACCAGAATCCAGTATAATCCTTGTACGCATATCCCCACCGTCATCCGGGTAACCCTGTGCTCTAGCAAAACGCAAGCATGGTTCTGCATGTAAACGGAAGCTCACAACGGATATGGGAAGTTTTTGCGATAAGGGGCCCTTCAAGACCCTAGGGATATATGATACACTGTATGGGGACTATAAGGAGGTTTCAGAGATCCGCCTTGGGGATTCTTACAGGGGCAAGTGTCGGAAATTCCCATATGGGGATGTGCTCAGGTCACGGATTCCTGTTAACGAAGTCCTGATCTGCAACCATGTTAAGCATGTCTGGTTTGAGGTTGTAAGGCATCTCCAACCCTTAGCCCAAAACCCTCAACCTTAAATAATAGTTTCCATGTTATTTTTAAAAGTATTAGTAGAATAGTAGTTTCCATCTTCTTTTCCATTTTTCCAATATAAACCCAATATACCCTAAACTCTATAAACCCTATAATTCCTAAACCTTAAACCCCAAACCCTAAACCCTAATATAACCGAAAGTCAGCTTCAAGTTGAAGAGGACCTGGCCTATTTCTTTGGTGTGGCTGCTGGTGGCCTTTCTTCAGAGGAGTCAGAGAGGGAACTGCTTCGCTACTACCATGGAGAGCTTTCCAAGCTGTTAGTAGCCCGGATGCATTGTGTGGAGTTAGGATGTAGGGCGCAGAGAGTAGAGTCAAAATTCAAACGGATGCTCAGCCCTAAACCCTAAACTCCTAAACCCTAAACTAAACCCCTAAACCCTAAACCCCTAGACCCTAAACCCCTAAACCCCTAAACCCTTGCAACCAATGTGCTTCCGACACATTGACCATGAGTCGCTGCTTGAGCGTTCTGCCCAAGTTGTTTAAAGGTGTCGAGGTTTAGGGTTTAGGGGTTTAGGGTTTACGGGTTTAGGGTTTAGGGTCTAGGGTTCATTAATTGTATCTATTGGGTTGGGCCCCCACCCACTAAGCGTGCTATACTAGGAATATAGAAAGACCTTTATAATTACCATTACCTCTTGTGGTCACTTTTAGTGGGTGGGGGCCCAACCTAAAGTATCCACCTTGTCTTGTTGCTGCTAAGGAAGCCCAGGAAGATGAAGTTCCAGACTTTGAGCATCTGTGGAACTCTTACCATCTAGCTCTTTGTGATTTGGGCAGGTGGATGGTGGGCAGCCAGGCTGAAGAAGAGCAGGTCTAGGATGCTGGGCCTGCGGTCCAGGGTTTGAGGTATACTCGGGTATACTCCCCTGCCCCTAATATGTTATGATATACCGTAGCGGGGAGTATTTAGTATTAGGGGGTGTGAAGTGGGGGTTTAATATTAGGGTGAGGCTGGGGTTCGGGGTTTTGGGAACGATGTTCAGAGCTGAAAGGTTCAGTTTGGGCTTGCTCTAAAACCCTAAGGGTCCAATGACCCAAATATTAGGGCTTCAGGGCCCATACTATAGTACTAATGGCATTTGGGCCCTGAAGCCCTTTTATTTGGGTCCCTGGACCCTTAGGGAATCTGTAGCAGTGCCTCAGGTGAACAGATCAGTCTTGCGTCGTCGGGAGTTTGGGACATGAAAGGCGGAGTGCTGTAAGGGTTTCACTACTGCTAAGCAACATGCGCACATCGCGATATGAATGTCGAAAGCAGGAACAAGCAGTTCTGTTTGGCCCACTCTGTATTCAACTAGTAGGGAATGACGGGAGGAAAGAGAATGGAAACTACTATATTCTTGGGGATTGTGTATAGCAGCGTCCCCAAATGAAGGGACTCCAACATAGACCCTAAAATAATATAACCACGCTGTTGGGACCCACAAAAAGGTACCCCTAATTTTGGGAAACCCCCAAAACCCTAAACCCGAAGTCCTAAGCCCTAAGCCCTGTTGACTGTATAGCTATTATATATGATAGGAACCAGTCTATATGGATGCATTCCTCCGTTCCCTTTCCCTGCCACCAACCAGCAAGTTTCATGCTCATGCATTTTGTGGTGCCGGTAGCATGTTTTGCTCTACTTAGTAGTTCTCACACATAGAAGAAATATAGCCCTCCGAAACACTATAAGCCTCATGATGGGGATCCTCAAACAGGGACCCCATAATTTTTGGACCCCCTGGATTGTTCACATTGCCGAGCCCAGGTGGCTTCAGCTTTGGGAACACTCGGCTTATCTTTGGCCATGTGAAAGCTCTCCTGAAGTCCCTGGAGAGCGTGAAAGGAGATGCAGAAGAGGCATACCAGGACCCCTTGACAGGGTTCAGGGTTTAGGGGTTAGGTGGTTTCTTTGCCCGTATTCTCCAAGTTGTGCTCAAACCCTTCAACTTTCAACCCTTGAAGCTCTAGCCCGAAAGCCGGATCCCCAAAGGCAATCCCCAGACCCTAACCGATAGACCTCACACCTTAATCCCGAAAGCTTCAATTATTCTGCAAGACCTGAAGCCAGGAGAAGATTTTCGAGCTGTATCCTCCGTGAGCCATGAGCCCGATCCAAGCACACAACATGAACATGAATTATCAATTTAGGAAACTGCTCGGCATGCACCGTATAGATACTTGGACCCTTTTAGAAAGGGAATTGCCACTTTCCTATCACATCGGGACTATTTTTCTTTGGGTGCGACCAGTATGCGGGTGCGAGGCTTTAAGGGTTGACTGTGCAGGGCTTAGGTTTTTGGGTTGACGTTTCAGGGTTTGGGGGCTTAGGTTATGAAGCTTAGTGTGTAAAGTTTGCTTTGTTGAGTTGGGGCGCTCCCCCCGCAAGTATATCGTTCTCAAAACCAGCTCCAACAAAAAGGGAACCAAAGAATTTTCAGATCAATAGATCGCTTCGAATTCCTTTGCTTGGGAGAGATGGGAGTTTCCGCACATCCACAAATTCCTGGGCTGTCGTTAAGGTGCGATATTGGGGAAGCCATAGTAACTATTACACTTACCCAGTATGGTCACTTAATTTAGGTTCCTTGACAGCAACCCAGATTCCGGTTGCAAAGACTTGGGAATTTCCCAACTAGAAGTTCCCTTTGGGAGCTTCAAGAAAGCTATTTTGGGGACATATGCATGGGGGCTGTTTATGCAAGATATTTTCGTGGGTTCTAACAGAATTCCAAGCATGCAAGGAATGCAGTATGGGGGTTCAGGGTTTAGTCCGCGAAGTGGAAATTGGAAGCTACCAGATCCGTCGCACCAGAAGCAGTTCTGGGCCTATGCGGTCGGCTGCTGCCAGCTCGACTTGAAAAAAAGAAAAAAGGAACCAATGTCGATGGTATAGCATGAGAACGGTACCAGCTGTCAGCTGTTCCAGATTTGAAGTTCAAGTTGACAACGCTCTTCGACCCTGATACTGCATTACCTAGACGTAGAAGCAATTGGCAGACCGCCACAGCTGGCAGAGTTTGACAGTGCACGCCAGCCGCCCCTGGTGCGGCTAATTTTCCAACCAAGCACGTCTCACCAAAACTGGCAATCACCCAGAAAATCGAAGCTCTGGGTCGCGTGCCGACCACCAAGTAACTGCAGTTCAATTTTATCGTAGTTGATAGCGCTGCCTTTTCATCGCCATCATCATCGTCATCCTGCTACTGTACTATTAATCATGCAAATATCTGTAGCGGCACTGACATCGTAAATAAGATGATAGCAATAACAACAAGCACGATAAGCTTTCTAGATGCAATAAGAAGAGAACGATACTCTTGGTACCCCAAATCCTGCATGGCCTTGGTACCCTGTAGCACCACAATTCCCAAGGTAAAAGGTACGTCGGGTCTTGCAAGATTTTCGGTATGCATCGAAGTATGGGACAGGTCGCAGGATAAGGAGAATCATAAGACCTACCTTTGTTGGGTTGCTGTCAAGGAACTCAAATAAAGGTACCGTCATAAGGGAACCCGATTATTTACTACAAGCCCATGTTATGGTAATTTAATTTAAGTTCTGTAACAGCGACCCAGTTTAGGGTTTAAAGACCCAGCTTCGCAACTGAAGCCGCAAGAGTTATTTGTAGTAGCCTTGATCGCGCACTTTTATGAAGCGTAAGCCCCAACAAAACCAAACCCCAAGCCCCAAACCTTAAACCCTGAAACCATCTAAAAACCCTACATGCTGAACCCTAAACACTACCTGAGTCCTGCAGGGCCGCCTCCCTTGGCGCCTGCTCCTGATCCCGTGGGGTACTCAGCTGTAAAGTGATTTCATGAGTTTAGGATGCCCCTGCTTACTGGGGCTTCGTAAGGAATAAGGGAATATTATAGGGTTTAAGGTAGGGAAGTAAGGAATATACTATTTGGGGATCAAGTAGGGATGATATCGCATTATTCCTTGCGAAATACTAACCACCAGTAAGATGAGCCCCCAGAAAAGCCAACTTGATTGGCCACTTTAGCTGAGGTGAAGACATACCAGGGGGCCCATTAGCAGTCCAGCAGGTAGGGCGACAAAGAGGGTATACCAGGAATGCCGGTGATAAAGCACCATAGAAGAACTTCGTTACTGCCACACCAGCACAACTGCCACTCTCCCCGCCGCCCCTGCTGCTACCGCAATGGACACCGTCACCGCCGCCGCCGCCATAAATCAGACCATCACAGTCGCTTGGGTTGCTGTTAAGTCGCTATGGCGCTGTCGTAGTAAGCAGTGACATTCATTGTCCCAGGCTGCAGAAGCCCGTGGAGGCGAAGTTGGGTCATTTGGGTGCGGCTCAGAAATCCGCATTTGCTGAGTCTACTTGTTGAGTCCTCGATTTTGAAGGAGCTATAGCCTCAACTCCTTATAGGGGTTATGTAGGGCATTATACAGGGGAGTATTATAGGGGTTATTAAAGGCGATACCGGGAGCTTAGATTATAACTCAAATGAAGTGCCACTTGGGGGTCAGTCATTGAATCGTTTACTTTTGGAGGCTTGGAACACTTTGGGCTGGCTACAAAACTCAGCTGCCGCGTTGTTTGACCAGCAAGGCCTACTAACAGCATACAAGCCTTCTACGAGCCATAGCTTCATAACAGGCTTGTAGAGTTGCCAAGCTCCTTTCTTCAGGAAGCTTTGCGTACCGGAAACCTTTGAGGTCTTCAGGTTCGGATTTTCTTGAGGACTTTAGAGTGTTGCTTTGAGGGTGTATTCGTGTGAGCAGGCTCCAAAAGAATGGAACACTGTGTCCTAAACCCCGGTCCAGAAAGCATACCCCCGGTTTAGGTGTAAAACCTGAATTGCCGCCCTCCGAAAAGTACGAGAGTGTTGAATTTTACGGCTTCGTTTTGTAAAATGGTTTCGCACATGTTGTCGGGATGCTGAAATTTGGATACCCCCAATCCCGAACCCTAAGCATCCTACAAATACTCCAAGCCCTGAACCCCAAACCCTAGATAAACCCCAATCTTGCACCTTAAACCCTACATGAGCCCACACCGTGATTAACCCCTAAACTCCTAAACCCCTAAATCCCTAAACCCTTAACTCTAAACCCCTTAACCCCTAAAGTCTAAACTGAAGTTTAACCCCTAAACTCCACTTCTCCTGTGCAGATGCAGAGCCTGGCGTGGCGCTCGTATCTCCCGAGCCTGAGGATGGTAAGGAGGACGCACCCATTGCTAGGAGTTACAATACAACCCCCCCAGGGTTTAGGGACATAATGAGGACTATATGGGGCTTAATAAGGCCTAATAGGGTCCTAATAGTACATGTCTAAGTCCTAACATTGGAGAGAGACAAAAAGAGAGAGAGAGAGAAAGAGAGAGAGAGAGAGAGAGAGAGCGAGAGAGAGAAAGAGAGAGAGCCGTAGCCATTTTGGCTCAAGTCTCCACCTGCGTTCTCCATTCCTGGGGAGCGCATTCGCTGGGCGCCGCCCGTCACCTGTGAAGGGTTCGGCCCTTTGTGGGAGGCGGGTGGACGCTGCTCGGCGAGTGGAGGCTTGAGGCCCTCCGTGCAATATCTCTGAGGACCGCGGACAGCCCGCGTGAGGGAATTAGGGAAATCGGGGACAGGGATTCCTCTCACTTAATTCAGGACCTTTTGTCTCAGCTCCTCGCCCCTGACCATCTGTTTGCCCGAACCCGATAGGGGACTGTTGTCACTGTAATGGCTGCCTCGGCCAAATCGCCAAGCGGGAGCGGGCCGATCCAGATTGATGCGGACATCGACAATGCGGCTGGGCACGAAAGTGACAACCGCTCAGGGAGGCCAAACCCGCTAAAGAAAAGGGAAAGACCAGCTGACGCAGACGAGACTGGACCTGCAGGCATCCTCACCCTTGCGGACCTGCAGCTTGCACTAGCGCCAGTTATACAGGGATTGCAGAACGTCCAGGAAAGAATGCAGACAGTAGAGAACCAGGTGTCAGAAAAGCTGGATAGCACGTTGAGCATGGTGAAGACGCTGGACGACAGACAAATAGAACAGGGAATGGAGATTCAAAAGATTGCCAGCAGCCTGCAGAACCAGGAACAGAGCCAACATGCGCAAGCACGGGAAATGAAGGAATTGATCGCCAGGTTGGAGGCACTGGAACAGCAATGCACTACCACAGTTTGGAAAACAGGCACTGGGATGATGAAGGATGAGGGGGGACGCAGCCCTGCCCTGATCATTGGCGGATGGCCCGAAGACCAGGAGGCGGAGACGACAACCCGTATGGCGCGGGAATACGTCCAGAAGTTGGGAGTGCCGATCGACGTCCAGGGACTGTTTACGCCGGGTGTGCGCCGTGGATACTCTATACTGCCGGTGGAAGCCAGAGAGGGCGAGGACTCCAGAGCACTATATCAAAGACTCGTGGGAGTGGTTTCCCTGGCCAGAAACGTTAAGGAGCACACCGAGGCCAAGAACGGCAAGGGACATCCCAAGCAAGTTTGGGTGGCGATATCGGAACCGCCTGAGCAGAGGCGCAAGTCGCGCTTTGCAGGAAAAGTGAAGCGCCTAGTGCTGGAAGCAGCAGAAACGCTGGCCAAAACCATCCAGGTACAGGCGGAGTACCGGGCAGGAACAGTGTGGGTAGAAGGCAAAAGAGTGGCAAGCGCCACAGCGCCGAAGATGGCGGCTGCCCTGGATGACGAGTATGGTTGGATTGACGTGGCCCAGATCGCGAAGAGTTTGGAAACCCACGAGTCGTAGGTGAAAGCCAGGTGGCTCGAGCTGGAACAGCAACTCAACTGATCGGAGGATGAGGGAAGCAACTGGGAAGAGACGTTACAAGATTGGCCGTACAGGGAAGGTGGAGAAGGAAGTGGGGAGTTATCAGACGAAGCCAAAACGCCTTTGGAGAAGTATTACCACGACAACATGTGAGAGAATCATGGGGGCGATGAAAATAGGGGCATTGATGTATAAGAATTGTGGCTGTTGTTGGGGTGGCAAGGAGGCTGTCATGGGGGAAGTTTGTACATCAGGATAGATGTGTAATAGCGGTTAAGCCCCAAGTTCGAACCGGGAAAGCAGTGTACCATACTGGCAGAGCACTGTAGTCCCAGTAACAGCCAATGGGCACAAGAAATCCCTCGAAATGAGAAAGGGCACAAGAGAAGAGCCGATCATACCGTCTACGGGGGAGACGGGCCAAAAGCAATACTGGAATTGTAATTTCGCAGTTACCCCGGGAACAGTGCGCCAGGTAGGGAACATCAACAGCGGGTGCAATAGAAAGTAGAGCGGAAGTGTGAATGATGGGTTTCTCACTAGTAATTAATGCCCTACAAGCCCAGCTGACTGCACCATGCACAAGTTTCACACCATTTCCAATGCCACAGGGATAGGGAAGGTGAGCACCCGGGTCCCGTAGGGGCATATGGCCGACAGTGACGTGTATGAATGATCCAAGAGAGATGAGGATGTACATTGGGAAATTCGACTAGGAGTGTCATGCACAAGGTGAGCAGTGAGAAGCAGGGAAGAGTGATGACCATATGCTGTACGGGTGCTGATTGTGCTCTCAATTGGCCGTTAAGTGATGATCACTCTTCAACCTTACCTCGGCTCACGAACCAGCATTTGGCTGTTTTTCCTGAAGGTAGCCCCGACCATTTTCCCGCAAGAGAGGGGAACTGCACCGGAAGGGGCGGGGGGAGAAGAAGATAATGGGGTATGAACCTAACGTTCCGGTGAACATGAGAACCTCCTTGCTGCTCAACGGACCGCCCGGGCTGGGGGTTCGCCCCCGCAGCATCTTTGATGTTGCATAGCCTATGGAAGAAGAAGAGAGAGAGAGATACAAGGATGTAAAGATTAAAGAACGTGTATATATAGATATGTACATACACATATAACACTCATGTAAAAAGGTGTGTGTATATATATATAAGGGTATATATATATATAAGAAATCTATGCACATGTGTATAAATCTCTATATATATATATGTGTATATGTGTATGGTTTTGGGGGATGGTTTGGTGTTTAGGTTTTTTGGTTTAGGGTTTAGAGTGGAAACTCTGCAGCACTTCGTGGCTTCTTCTCCCAGTATGGCAGTATGGCGCGCCCGGAGACCTTGGTGGTGTGTATTTGCGTGTGCCAGATGCTCAAACTCTTTGCATATTCCTTTATTGTAGCAAAGCAGAAAGACTGCAAATATCTGAGCTGCTTTATGGTGAAAGAAGATGCTTTTCCAAGCACTTTACGAAGTAGAGTCTTAGTATAGGTTACCTCAGATAGACCTCAACATCACAATGGTAATTACTTAGACTTAGGCCCTGTTACAATGCGATACACAGTGCACAGGTAGCTTCATGAAAGACCGAATGCTTGACGAAAATCCTCGCAATAGGATAGCAGATAGCATTGCGAAATCTTACAGGGAAATATCACTACAGAGTGTTGGAACTGAAACGCGAATTCCCATGAGGCATTTGAGGGTTAACATACAAGTAGCATATTCCCGTAGTTACGATGATTACAGGGGTTCCATGTTTCTGACTCGTGCTGCGAACCCCGACCCTACGCCCTCCCACATCCCACCAGGAGCACTCGCCTCTCCCCGTGCCTCCTGGCGTCGAGACGCCGCAGACGCCCCCGGAACTGCAGCTCGAGCCTCAGGATTTACAAGTTTACCTGCCACAAAACTAGTAACTACCCAGACCCTCCTATGTAGTTCCTTTCTGGGTAGTACTTTATAATCCCTTACCAAAAACCATAACAGACCCAAAAATGAACTACATTGGAGCCCTTGGGTAGTCTGGAATGCCCGAAAACAGTCCAGCCACTACCCTGGCGTATGCGATGTACCATGCTGGTTCGCGGCAGGACAGGAAGGGTTATGGGCTTCTTGCTACTGGTACTTGAAGAATAAAGGGACCTTTTTATGGGAACCCCAAACAGGGGACCCCAAGAATATAATAGGAATATAAGGACCCTGGTAGGTATGTTTCCACATATTCCTATTATATTCTTGGGGTTCCTTGTTTGGGGTTTCCAATAAAGTCCTTTAAAGAAAGCTCAAGTAGGGGCATGCCAACTTCGAGTTTGTTGTCAAGCCTGAAAGGCATCAGCTGAGCCAGATTTGACCTATGCTTCGCACAAGGAACATGGTTGTTGCCAAGTGCCTGTTTTCTGGATAGTCCATGAGTTGTTCTGGGCCTGCAATGTGGGACCTCCGACTGAGAGGTTGGTAGCAGTCTGCAGATGGATCTTGAAGTTTCTGTGTGGGAAATGCCATGATTTCAAAATTTTCAAAATTGGGGGAAGACACCTTATGGAGATGCTTGGGATTAAGCGTCCCTTGAATGCTGCTTCGAGATGAGCATCCTAATCCCAAACAGATGGCGAACAGGCCGCAACTATATGAGCCGAGGTGTTAACTCCAGGTATCCCCATTAATAACCCCTATAATAAGTTAGCAGAACCCTTGCCCATTTTGGGTAATAATACCACCAGTCAAC